CCCATACTGTAACAAATAATAAATAATTTTTAACTATATTATAAAATAAAAATTATTAATAAATAAAATTGGAAATATAATAAATAATAAACTTGTTTCATATAAGCGTCATTTTTTTACATTTACGATTTTGTGAAAAATATGATAATAATTAAAAATAATTTTAGTACTTTGGTCATTATTCTTGCAACATTTTTGTAATTTTTTCTTGTGCACAATTTCAACCGTTCACTATAACTTTCAACTTAATTGTTAATATTTTTGATGTATTTGTTACAAACAACATGACACACTATAAAATGTTTACATTACTTGTATTATCTATTTATTATTTGTATTTCAAATATTACTACAAATGCTCAATTATATTTAAGTCACAAATCGGAGCTGGCCAATTTTTAATGATAAAACGTTTTTATGTTCAAAAAATAAAGTGTTTGGTAAAAACTTTATAGCATGGGCTGGTGTAGTAATTTTGTTTTTTTTCAAAAGTGGGAATTTTAAGCCAATCAACCCTTTATAACCGCTATATATAGAACTTTATTTTTTGTTTCATTGAAAAAAATACCATCTTTTGGGAGAATCCGCTTTTCAAAAGTACCGTTTTTGAAAAGTTTTACTGTATTTTGATTTGTGCACATTGGGGTTGTATTTCATAATTTTTTTCTTTTTGATTACGTTTTAATTGTTTCATTTATATTATTGTATTGCTTTTATAACATTTTGATTATTATGGAGGTTTAATACTAAATTGATTAAAAATGTAAATATATTGTATTGTTTAATTATTCCTATATTGATACATATCTTTATATTTTGCTTTTAATATATTATTGAGTCAATAGTTGTTTGATTTTGTCAAAATTTCTCCAGTTATCTAATTTATATCAACATATTTATATTCAAAATGAATAGAAAGATACAACTTTTTAAGGTTATTTTTTGATAATCGATGTGTTTTCAAGTAAGTCATTCCAACAATAATTGTTTACAAAATGACACATCATGATATCAGGAAAACTTGAAATGTTAACTTATTATTTTTTCTTTTAATATGTTTATTTTATAATCTGTAATTTATTAAAATACCAAGTTAAAATTCAACTAAATTTTAATAATCAACATATTTACTCGATATTAACAATTAATCGAATTACTTTATTAAATTAAACAGAATTACGTCAATTATATTCAAAACATATTTTAATATAAGTAAAAAAAATACATTTTACTCAATATTTTAATCATAATAAAAATGTAAAACAATTGTTTTTATTTTTTAGTGTTAAAAATGATATTCTTTGTTTCTAAAAATAGTAATAATAGTGACGATTTTATGGATAAGGAAAAATAACAGGGAGATAAAATAAATTTTAAAATAATAAAGATGTCATACACTTTATTGTTTAAATTTAACATCAAAAAATTATATTTTTCATATTACCAGACCACATAGAAATATATGAAATTTAAATATCTTAGGTAAAAATTGCATTTTTTTACCTCTAATTGAAAGCAGTGACGAAGTAATAAAAAATTTTAGTTTTGTGATAATATATTTACAATATGATAGAATTATCGACAAACATCATATAAAATACAATTATCACCATAATTCTCATGCATTTATTATACCGATGGTTGTTTATGATGTTGAGTAACGACATCAGGGTGTCTTTATAACACATGTTTTCATAAACTTATCTACAAGTAAAAAATGGTTTTATGGCCCCTATTTTTATTTAATTTCACGATATTTTTTTAAGGGGGTTCAATCAAAATATATATTGAATGAAAAAAACGGTTCTGACTTAACAAAAAAACAAAATAAAAAATCATTTCATTCTCATTAAAACACCAAAAAATTGTTCAAAAAATCCACTCGTTTGCAAGGGTGGTAATTTGAGTACGTTTTATACGCGTTTAAGACAGCTATATCAATCATATCATATAAAGCCCTGATGTTCCACCTGTTTGTTCGACGTCTACACGTATTATACCTGGTCATCTGATCCACAGTGTCAACCCCATACATTTTGTGGTTGTAGTCAAGAATGGGCTGGGGTTTGTGTATTGTCATTTTTTCTTTGCCAATGAACACATACTGCTCGACGACTTTAATTTCATTCTATTAGTGGCAGGTTGACAAGACCAATACCAGCTTCTTTTTCTCGTTGAAGTAAGAGATGAGTTTACACTTTCCTTTCGAGAAAAAGATGGTAGTATCGGGAGTTCTCTTTTTGATGGTTTTTGCTTTGTCAGGAAGTTCTTTCCTATTGATCCTCATGGTTCCCAAAAGTTGGCACCCACATGAAGCAAGGTAGTGTACAGAAAAAGACGTCACACACAACAGTAAACTTGTTACCACGGCATAACATGGGTAGCACCATATTCCCGACCACTCTAAAGCCTTGATTGTCCTCCTTACCACCACACATACCAAGTACATTTGGAGGTTTAGAGTCATTCCTGTCTCATAATCAGCACATATCTACAGATTAAAAAACTATAAATAACTCAAATAAACAAATAATTAAATTATTAAATTTGATCATACATGTCAAACCAATAATAACTATCCGTCATTTTTGACTCCATAAATAAAACTCATTTGGTAAAAATAGAACAAACCCAAAACTTTATACCATAACGTCCAGGCTTAGACTTAATAAACACCTTAGCCCACATATGCCCTTTATAAGAACACAAATGTTCGTCAACCGAAACACTATTACTGGGTTTGAAATAAGTTTGGTTGACGAGGTTAAAATTAAACTTATCTAAAATCAGTCTAATTTTGGAAAAGCTGTCGTGTGCATTTGGAGTTATGCAGGACGAC